CAGCAAGTGCAACATCTTTAGCACAGGTTGGATGTGCTCCCAAATCGGGATTCCCATCAGCAACCTGGCCGCGGTGTTTTGCACCAGCTTCAGCTTCTGGATTTGCAACAAGGGCAGCCCCATGTAGAGGGCATTACAGTAATTCAATCTCGAGGTGACCATCGCATGGATCACTATTGTCAGGTCATTGCATTCAGGGAAGGGAACCAACTGCCTGATCAGCTGCAAATGGTAAAAGGCTGACTTGGCAGTGGCTGCTACCTGGGCCTCCATTGTTAAGGAAGTGTCCAGGAGCACTCCCAGGCTCCTAACCTCTGGCGCTGGCATGAGTGGTGCCCCATTGAAGGTCGGGAGCGGGATCTCTGCCCTTGGACCGCTCCAACTCAGGCACAGGACCTCTGTCTTCGTTGGATTCAATTTCAGCCAGCTCAGCCTAAGCCAACCAGCCACAGCTTGTAACACCCGGTCTAGGTCTTCCAGTTTGGAGTTGGACTGGCCGTCCAACAACAGATAGAGCTGGGTGTCATCCACATATTGGTGACAACCCAGTCCATGCCTCTGGGCAATCTGGGCAAGAGGGTGCATATTGATGTTAAAAAGCATCAGAGACGACCCTTGAGGCACTCCATATTCCAATAGGTGCCTTCGGGATAGCTAATCCCCCAGCGCCACTCTTTGTCCCCGATCTTGGAGAAAGGAAGCAAGCCACTGCAAGGCTACTCCCTGAACTCCAATATTGGCAAGGTGGTGGGTCAGTAGCTGTTGGTCGACCGTGTCGAATGCGGCCGACAGGTCTAACAGCAACAGCACTGCCAATCCGCCTCAATCCGGATGCCTTCAGAGGTCGTCTGTGAGGGCGACCAGTGCCGTCTCCGTCCTGTGGCCCGGGCGAAAGCTGGACTGGAAGGGATCTAAGATGGAAGCATCATCCAGAAAGCCCTGTAACTGCATTGCCACTGCCCTGTCTATTTTCTTGCCCAAATAGGGCAAGTGTCTGATAGTTGGCCAATTCGGCTGGATCCAGAGATGGCTTTTACAGGAGGGGGCACACCACTGCTTCCTTAAGTGCCTCCGGGAACAGCCCCTCAGAGATAGTAGATAACTCAATGAAAGTGTCAATCCAGTGTGCTGCAGAAGTGAAAAAAGCAAACTCTGTCCTAGGGTGTATTAGCAAAGATATTCAAAATAAAATGGCTGATATTATAATGCTTCTGTACAGATCAATCATAGAATCATAGAGTTGGAAGGGATCTCCAGGGTCATCTAGTCCAACCCCCTGCACAATGGAGGAAATTCACAAATACCTCCCCCCCAAAGACCCAGTGACAAAAAACCTCCAGGATCTCCAGCCAAAGTAGTCTGGAGAAAAATTGCTTCCTGACCCCTGCAACCTCATTTGAAATACTGTGTACAGTTCTGGTCACTATATCTCCAAAATAACATCACATAGCTGGAAAAATACATAAGAGGGCAACCTAAATGATGGGGGGGGGGTTTGGATCACCTCTATGAAAAAAGGCTGAAGGGTTTGAGATTCTTCAGTTTAGAAAAGAAATTACTAAGGGAGGTCATTATAGAGGTTTATAAAATTATACACAAAGTGGGGAGAGTTGACAAATAAAAGTTTTTCTTCCTCTCCCAAAATTCTAGAACTTAAGGGCATCCAGTGAAGCTGATGAGCAGTATATTCAAGACAGACAAATGAAATACCACTTTACATAATGAGTGATTAAAATGTGGAATTCACTGCCAGAGGATGCAGTGATGGCAACAGGCACAGACAGCTTTAAAAGGAGATTAGACAGATTCATGAATGATAGGCCTATCATTGGCTACTAGCCATGGTGACTAAAAGTAGCCTCCATGCTCAGAGGCAGTCTCTGAATCACAGTGCCAGGAGGCAATATTAGGGGAAGGCCTCTATGCACCACTGCTGGACTTCCAGAGGAACTGGTTGGCCATTGTTTGAGACAGCATGCCTCACTAGATGGACCACTAGTCTGATCCAGCAGGATTCTTCTTATATTCATCTTTACTTCATGGATAAGCGAGTCAGTTTTCAATTAAAATAAACTATGATCCATGAACTATGAACTAGCCCTTGGAAATGTATAACAGAAAATATTGGGAACTTTTATTTTGAGTTATATAAAAAACTCTTAAAGGTGTAAGTTCCACATGACATTTTAGCATAAAAAATAGAAAGTCTTTGTAATTTTAGCAGCTCATTTTAACTGTTATTACTTGAATTAATCCAGCCAAAAGCTGCATTAACTATGTCACATCCCCTTAACCAAAGGCATGTAAACCCTAGAATAGACAGCTGTTTGGCTGTACCAAGGTGGGACCCCTGCCCTCAGCAAATATATCTGATTCCCCTACATGGCCACTTGGCTTCTTATTCTTGCAGCCATATGTTTGGATGGCATTTTGACTGCTTTCTAGTTGGATGCATCATTCCACAAGGACACAGGCACCAGCTCCTGATAGCTTTATTGGGATGAAGTTGCTTGTTTGCCAGAATCAACTTGGGTTAAGGCTTTCTTTAGTAGATGCAGTACTAGTATATAATATATAAAGAAATAAATATTCATAAATATAAATAGGTAAAGCTTTAATTAGGATTTTACACCTCTAGTTCTCAGCTTAATGTAGAGCTTAATAGGTATTGTAGTGAACTGCTGTACTTTTGGATCCTTCCAAGTTATTGATGTGCCAGGTAACACATGGGAGCAGGTCAAAAACCAAAGCTGAGCACAAGGCGGGGTAATGCTGGCAGCTATATAGGAGACAAGAAACAGCAAGGGCAAATAATTTGATTTTTGTGGTAGTGGAAGGAGGCTGGGAACTCAGGTGAAGCCTTTGATTGAAAAGACGGCTGAAGTGTTTGTGGGCCCTAGGAACTTATCCAAATAAGCAAGGGGGAAGGGTTGGGTTTAGAAAGAAGGGTATACTAGACTGAGAGGTGTTATTTATGGAGGGGGGAAAACTTCACTATGTTAGAGGCTGATGTCACTGGTGGTTCTTGTGTGAAGAGGGGAATATGGCAAGACAACAGAGTACTACACGTAAGAGCACCATGGTGAACTGACCAATAGTCTAAGGCTGCGATCAGACGTGCCATTTGGTGCAGAGGGTCAACCAGTTCCTCTGGCATACCAGCAACAGGGCATAGAGGCCAAGGCCTTCTGGCATTGGGAATATCCACAACTCACCAACAACAGCCCTCCCCGCCCTGACAAGAAACACATAAAATACCCCTAAGAACATAAGAGAAGCCAATGTTGGATCATGGCCCATCCATGGCCTATCCAGTCCACCACTCTGTCACCCAGTGGCCAAAAATACCAGGTGCCATCAGGAGGTCCAGCAGTGGGGCCAGGATACTAAAAGCCCTCCCACTGTTCCTCCCCAGCACCAAGAATACAGAGCATCACTTGCCCCAGAGTCCCTATTTATACCTTGTGGCTAATAGCGTTCCGTGCACCTTGGTGTTTAGTCATGCCGGCCACATGACCATGGAAATGTCTTTGGACAGCGCTGGCTCTTCGGCTTTGAAATGGAGATGAGCACCACAACCCTAGAGTCGGATTTGACTGACTTTCGAGCAAGGGAACCTTTACCTTTAATAGCCACCTCTGCTCCATATGTTTATCTAATTCCCTCTTGAAGCCGTCCATGCTTGTAGCCGCTAGGGTTGCCAACCCCCCCAGTTTGCAAGGGGTCCCCCATTTTTGGGGGGTTTCTAGCCCCGCCCCAACACCCACAGCCACCCCTCTCCCTTCTCACTTGAGAGAGAGGGGTGGCTGCCTTTAAGTGCATGAAGCCCAGGTTTCCTCCAAAGCCCGATCTCTGCTTGAGATCAGGCTTGCAGGGAAATGCCAGCTCCGTGCACTTAAAAGGGAAACGTGGGCTCTTTGCTCTTAAAGGGGAAATGCCGGCTCTGTGCACTTAAAAGGGAAACACCGGCTCCTTTAAGTGCAGGGAACTGGCGTTTCTGGAGATTGGGCGGGTGGCGGACATCCCCAACATGACATCATCACATTGAGGATGCCCCGCCCCCTCCAGGAACGCCCCCAAAGTCCCCCGCTGGGGGTGGAAGATGAACTTGTCAACCCTAGTAGCTGCCACCACCTCCTGTGGCAGCTAATTCCATGTGTTAATCACTCTTTGGGTGAAGAAGTACTTCCTTTGACCTGTTCTAGCCCGACCACTCAGCTATTTCACTGAGTGCCCACGAGTTCTTGTATTGTGAGAAAGGGAGAAAAGTACCTCTTTCTCTACCTGCTCTATCCCATGCATAATCTTATAAACCTCGATCATGTCAGCCCTCAACCGTCGTTTCTCCAAGCTAAAGAGCTCCAAGCACTTTAACCTTTCTTCATAGGGAAAGTGTTCCAACCCTTTTATCATTCTAGTTGCCCTTTTCTGCACTTTTTCCAAAGCTATAATATCCTTTTTAAGTTGTGGTGACCAGAACTGTACACAGTATTCCCTAATATCCCCTAATATCTATTCTGTTCCCTCCCTTACAAGAAGTATCTTAAAGCAACAATACTGAACAATCAAAAAGAAAGACACAGTCTAGCTTCCCAAAAACACATGTGCAAAGCCCTAAACCAAGACCAAATTACACACCAAAGGAAAGATACCACCCCACCCTGGTGCTGGTCTAGCACCGATGCATCAATAAAGAAGCAGCTACAGTAAAAAGTACACTGTCTTGTTTCTGGATGTGGAGGTAGGTCAAAATTCCTTTTCACCTGGCTGCTAAAGCAACTGAGCCCAAACGCCTGATGAGGTTATCTGTTCAAATGGTAAACAAATGTGGGAGGGGAACAGGATCACAAAGTGCAGCACCTTCCCTCAACAATAGTCTGGAAATCCCCTGGCTGACACTGGCCAGCAGGACTTGTGCTTTGATACCAAGGTGATATCTACCTGGTGCCCAGTCATGAGTCAGAACTTTCTTGATTCCAAGTGGGATCAAACAGGTCAAAATGTCCTCAACTGTTGAAGTAACTGAGCCCAATCAGCTCAACAAAGGCCCCTGCCACACGGCAGAAAAACGACGAGGTAAAGCGCGGCTAAATAGAGCCGCTCCAAAGTTGAGACGCTGCGGCGGGATCCCACGGATCCCCTGGCCGCAGCGCCTCTTCTCCCCGGCAAGAGCAGACGCCGGGGAGGACGAGCCAGATGGGAGGGGGAGGCTGCCGAACTGCGCATGCCCGAGCATGCGCAGTACGGCCGGGGGCCGGGATGCGGCGGCGCAAGGACGCGCCGCCGATCCCACGGCCGGCTTGGGGCGCCCCAGACGATTGCTACCACCTAGATAGGTGGTTCGTCTTTGCAGCGGGGTATTGCCATTTGGGCCGGATCAGGGACGGAGACGGCACGCTCACCAGATGTTGAGGTGAGATCGCGCCTGTTTGCTCCGCCCCAGTTCCGTCCCGCTCCCGGCCCAAATGGGCTCGTATGAACGGGGCCATAAACAGGCAAATATGAGATTTTTGTTGATGGTGCAGTAGTGCCCAAATAGTGCGTACAATGGATGTGGAATGAATAGCTTTGCCGCATGGCGAAATTTCTCCTCTTCCAACTTAGAAAATATGACTTCCCAGCAACAGAAGCACTACTTTTATAAACCTCATACAGATCCACCATAATAGCTAAGCAACAGCTGAGCATTCCAAGTACAAAGATACATATATCTGGAAAAAGAGTGTTTTTATGGTACTCTAAAATCAATAATGAATGTTGAGAAAATCTTTTCGCGCAGAACTCCCTGGTTTGCTGGCACTCTGGCAACAATATAAAAACAGTATAACTGTGCTTTAGTGGTACAATGATATGCCTTATAAACGTATTGTTGTATTTCATTCCTCTGCGTTGGTATTTTTAATTCCATTTTTGTTGTTGAAGTTTGATGTCCACATCTGTACATTCACTTTGCATTGACATGCCAAGAATAACAGCATTACTGCTGGAGGTCTATCACATTTAGTAATTGAATCCTCAGCTTCCTACAGTGTATTTTGTAATGTGATACAGAATCTAAGCTTTTGTCAAAAATTAGGTTCTTGCAGCTACAAAACTACTTATGACTTTCACTGTTTCTCTGAGAACACATTTGAATACTTGGCTGCTGCTTATGCTCCTAGTACTATATCTACTTTTTTGTGCTTCCTCACATGGACTCAGGTTGTTCTAAAATATTGATTTTCCTATTAGATGGAAAGTATTTTTCACCAATGTGAACAGTGTTTAAAATAAGTAATGTGGGAAATACCATAAATGACATCTAGTTAGTCTACAAGTTATCTTCTCCATTCAACTATAAGAGGACTGCTGAAGAACTCAACTGAGCTGGATGGGCCAGATGTTAAGGTCTTAATTTTTAATTCCTTCATCATCTTTACTCAAGGAGAAGTCCAGTAAACATGGCCAGAAGTTAATTTCTATACATCCAACTGCATCATGCCATCCTGCCATATTGTGCTGCCCAGATCCCATCCAAAACAACACTGCTTTCTCCCAATTATCAGTCTTTTCCCAGACCAAATCACCATCAACAGTTCCTGTCAGCCACCTAAATACTCTTCTTATATGCCACTGCTTACCTTTGATAATCATCTTCAGTGCCAAAACAGCTGCTTCCTTATCCAGCCACTTGAAGCATTGCTGTAATACAAGTATCCTTCTCCACTGGTCATCGTGATCCAATCCACACCCTTGCCTCTTGGCTGTAAGTACATGTATATTGCAAATTTCCACACACCTTAACACCTGTGCTGCTTATTTTAAATAGAATGGCACGGGGGAGGGTGGGGTATAAGTACGAAAAATAAAAAAATAAAAAAAATAAATATCATGACCTCTGGTAACAAGCCACAGATAAGTCTGCACTTTTGCCCTACTATAAGGGTATTACTTCCTTAGGCTGAGTTGGTCAGCCATGTTGGTGTGAAGCAGTACAACAAATTTAGAATCCAATGGCACCTTTAAGACCAACAAAGGTTTATTCAAGGTATGAGCTTTCATCAAGGTTCAAACCTATAGCCAGAGAATAACAGCAAATTAACATGCAACCTTAAGCTGATCATGGTTCAGATATTTGTGTGGATGTGGCAGGAGTGTTGGGAATTGCTTTGGGGACACCAAATGGTATAAGGTCTTGTGGCTTTACTTTTGGCACTCTGAACTAGGGACTAAGGAGGATCAAAGATGGTTTACTGAGCCCTCTTTTTAAAAAGTCCTCTGATACTGCTGCCACTTATTCTGAATATTATTTGTAAGGTAACAAAAACTGTTGGAATCTACTTCCATGAGATTTTAAGAAACTGTTCCCACTGATAGGAAATGGCACTGTCCCTCTGATGGATCAAGATGGGTAGCCATGTTAATTTGTAGCAGTAGAAAAGAGCAAGAGTCCAGTAGCACCTTAAAGACTAGCAAAAATATGTGGCAGGGTATGAGGTTTCATGAGCAGTGATTCATGAAAGTTAATACCCTGCCAAATATTCTGTTAGTTTTTAAGGTCCTACTGGACTCTTGCTTTTTTCTACCCTCTGATGGTTATTATTATATCATCTCTCTCTCTCTCTCTCTCTCTCTCTCTCTCTCTCTCTCTCTCTCTCTCTCTCAACACATACACATTTCCAGCTCTCCCATTGGCTGTGCAGTGCGCTCCATTAGCCATTGGCCCATCAACCACCACATAAGAGTAGTCACATGCCACTGGCTGGGTGCTGGGTCCGCTCCTCTCCCCCACCCACTGTCAACACTCTTCTCTCACAGAATAAACTGCCAAATGGCTGTCTCTCCTGATGGAAACACTTCTCCTGCTTGGCTTCTGTGGGACTAATTTTCCCTCAGTGGCTGTTGCTAGGCAACCATGCTTGGTTCTGTCAGTAAAAAAGCAAAGGCAGGAGGTTTGGGGAGGGGAGAGGCCTCAACTAAATAGTATGCCATGGAGCTCACCCTCCAAAGCAGTTATTTTCTCGGGGGGGGGGAGGTCTGGAGTTCAGTTGTGATACCCAGTGATTTTCAGGCTCCACCTGGAGGTTGCAAACCAAAGAGAGAGATCACAGGATGGAAGTTGAAAGGAGGCAAACAACCGTGATGTATAGTGCCAAAAAAAAGGTTCTTCACCAACTTGTAAATTCTTTTTTCAGTATTCAGTTTACTGAAAGCAATTCAAATGCCATCAACACCAACAAACCATGGAGTTTCTGGTTTTTGTGAATCGCTGACGGCGAGTCTCATCGAGCTCCAATGAACACGACCCGTGATTGTAGCGGATGGGAGGGGTACCGGATGGACATCTCCGGTCCCTCCTAAGCCCTTGGAGGGGGCTTGTAGCCTGGGGCACGAGAGGTGCCACTTTCGAGGCCACAGCCAAGGGATTGAGGCTCCTCTTTGCCCCAATAGGTCCCACCGCTGCGAGGCCAGCAGTGGCGACTGAGATGCACACCCGGACAAGTGAACAGGAGATCTAGGATTTTAAAATCTTTCCTACCTTATTGAAGCAAGCAGCCAATGAAGCGTGAGTCCATGTGCCTTTAAATAAGACAAAAATACAAGTGGATAGCTTCCCCCAAATCCTCAACTTAAAAGTGGAGGGAATTGAGGTGATCTGAGAAAAAAAAGAAGCAACTTTAAGAGGCAGAGCGGGGAAAGCACAAATAGAGTGCAGACTGGTCAAAGAGCGAGATTTAACAAACCTATAGAGACTTTTTTGAACTTTCTCCTAATGTAAACCATGTCACATCGGGCTGAAAAAATGGCGCCGAAAGTGAGACCTTATCCTTCATGAACTGCTAGCTCAGCAGTATCGGCTTCCAAACCGGAAGCAACCATAGACTTTCCAAACATGCGAGCCACTGCATTGTGCCCTCTACTGGACCAGATGACCCATCTTAATAACAATTTTGAGACTCTCCAAAAACAGCTAAAAGAAATCAATATAAAAATAGAGAATGCAGCAAAGTCTTTGAGAAAAGTTGATGCTAAGACAAAAACGTTGAATCAGAGACTGGAGGCAGTGGAAAAAGAGAAAGTCTCTGATAAACAACAGCTATTACAACTACAAATGAAAAAAATCACCATATGAAATTTCAAGGTATCCCGGAACAAAAAGGGGAAAACCTCAAGGAGATTTTAAGCAACACCGTGGCACAGGTAGTAGACCTTAAAGATTTCAGACAAAGACCAAAAGGCAGATGAATCTTTTCCCTCTAGAATCACCCATTTTATTTCCTTTCTCAGCTGATGCTGGCCAATCAGAGAGTGAGTAGAGCAGCCAATCACATAAGCTGTTCTCTCCAGGGAAGATTAACTTTTGAACTCCCTGATTCTGTGATGTAAGCAGCATTTTAAAAAGCCTGCTTTTCTTTGCAATCCATCACAGAGCCAATACATATATAAGTAAGTAAGTAAATTTATTGTATTAAGCCATTGGCCATTACAAAATACAAAAGACACCATAGCAATAATATAAATTATAACCATTAGAATCAGATAAAATTGACTACAAATCATGCTAATAAAAAGGCTAAAACAGATTTAATCAGGTAACTAGCCCCTTAGATCTAATTTTGGATGCTGCTAAAGCAAACAAAGAAACTCTGTAAGATACATATGCATCATTATCTGAAAGAAGGAATGTAACAGGAATGTAATCTTCTCAGTTTTTGTGTATGTTTGCATAGCCGATAGGATTCCTGCTTGAAATTTCTCTCTTGGGATACTATATAATGGACAGTAAAGCATGTCGTGAGGAAGGTCCTCCACCACTGACAGGCCACATATGCAGAGACAGCCCTCTTTTGGAGTATGCGAATAGCGGCCAGTCAGAAGTCCTGTTTCCATAGATTGAAATCATAAGGCTGAGGTTAAAGTTGGAGATGTTGACTAAGTAGCTCTACCTCGATGGTCCAATTTACAGAATTTATACCAGGGAGCCACTTTGGATTTCAGAATAAGAGCACGATCGATCAATGCATCAGGTTCATATATCCAATCCCTAAGTTGTGTGTTCTCAGCTGATGCCCTAAGGAGGTCATCTGGGATGGTAT